TTAGGGTTTAGGGTTTATCAAGGGACTACCATGAGACTATATAAGGGGTATATAAGGGTTATATTCGGGTATTAGGATTAGGGGTCCCTTCTAGGGGTCCCTCCTATTGCCCCTTAAGTTGAGGGCTGAAATCGAAGTCAAAAGGTTCTTGGGCCCCAGAGCTCCGCCTATTTGTACACCCGGAGCAGAGCCTCTCAGGCCGTGCGAGCAGCCAACCTTACTTCCGATGCCTCGGCCTCTGTTTTGGGTTTAGGGTTTAGTCTGAAACAGATTTCGATCTTGGGTCTCTGGAATCTTTGGCATTTCGATTATGACCCCATCGGTGCTTGGCATGACGATTGTCGAGCTCGCACCGCCTTGTTGGTTCCTTTCCCCAGAGTCTCCTGTCCCAGCATCACGGAAAGGAGTCAACTGCACACCTACACACTCTTGGAGCGTGAAGTGAACTCCATGAATTCAGACGAAAGACAGCCTCCGGCCGCAACTCGCCAGAAGAGGAAAGCATCACACAAGGGCCATTGGAAGTTGACGGAATAAAGGTTGGTTGGTTTGTGCCGGGAGGAACGGCCTGAAGTCGAAATCTCACAAGCATTTGGGATTCGAATACATGGCGGCCTCGCGATGTTTTCTTTTTTTTTACGAAGCGTGTCCTTGTGCAAAAGCCTCAAAGGAAAGCTTTGCCCGTACTGTCCGACTGTATCACTTTTGTCTCTTCCAAAGGCCCCTGCATGACCTAAACATTTAGACGACTCTTTATTGCAGCAGTGCTCGCATGGCAGTGCTGCTCAGGCTTGCTCCAAGCATGAGGGACCTCTGTTCTTTAACTTCGAGACGGGCTCGCACAGCCAATTCGTAATAATGTCCCTTGAAAGTCCTTCATAATGTCCATTGAAACTCCCTATCGTAGTATAGTATGTATCACGATAACCATGTCCATATGCTAGAAGGAACCCTCAATATGAGGGAACGCTCAACGCTGAAACTGCACCCTAGGAGTTGACTTTAGCCGACCTAGGACCTGCTGTTCTGTGCTGCCGTCCCTGGGGCTGTGCTGGTCATCCGGGCAGCTGGTATTGCTATAAAAAAAGGAGGGCGAAGCGACCAGAAAGCGTCAAGAAGGCGATGGCCTCTTTGTGTCGATACTATAGTCTATATACTTATCTGTAGTACAAAATATAGGGTCCCTATATAATAATTAGAACAATAACAAGGTTTCGGTTTACACTATATTATACCTCAGCTTCTGAAAAGACCCAAAATAGTTAGCCCCTACATTAATCAGTGTCCGAAGTGCAGCCGCGGGAAACAGCGGAGGCTGCTGACAACGGTGTGGCACGCCCACCTTTTCGACACGGCGCGTAGCCCATAAGTGAAGAGGACTGGGGCTCAGATTTCCAAGCGCAGCCCGGGGAGGGGGCTGCGCTTGAATCGCTCGGTCCTAATTAGAGGAAGCCAGGGCCGGCTGTCAAATGGGGCCCCCGACCCTGGTCCCGGAGAGCCGCTATCCCAGAAGAGTCACAAAGCCCGAAGGGCCTGGGGCCGATGGAACTTGTGATCTTTCAGGCCGCCAGCTCGAAGGCTTCGAAAGATCTGGTGGCGGCCCTCCACCTCAAGCTGGCCTGTGGGCTCAGCACTCTCCTCAGTCGTAGCAAAGCTGTTCCGTATGTCGTGAGGCCGCCATCCAAACCTGGGAAAACAGAACTGATACCGCTGCCTGTCCAGCAACAGCTGTCAGCAAAGGTAGCACGTGCAAGTCTGCAGCGGGCAGTCCACCAGCCACCAGTCTTCATGGTCTAAGGTCTTCTAAAGCTGACCCTTCCGTCTCCGAGATTGCATGACACTTTTCGCATGATATGAAATCTCACATTTCGGACCAAGAGCTGGTTCGAGTAGAGCATGCCTTGACTAGGCACTAGACTGTTGCGAGTGTTCTTACCGTCGCTTATTCGGTGCTGAAAGTCCTCCTTGCTTGGCTGTAGCTGAGAAAGGTACAATGACTGACTGTCAGTTGAGTGCAGCCAACGGGCTCGAGCTTTCGGATTAGGTCTGCGGGTCAGGGTCTCCCCCCACCGTCTCACTGGCGCTCTCTCCCTTGCTTGCTTGCTTGACGTGTGGGCTCCAGGACATGAAGCCCTTACACCCTGTGCGCATGCGCTACGCCGGCGGTCAGGTAGGAAAGAGGCGCTCTCTTCCCCCCTGCTCTGTCTGTTCCTCTTTCACAGAGGAACACAGGACCCCTGCACTCTCCAAACCGCTGCGAGTTAATTTTCACAGAACATCCCCCCATGGAGGCGGTCAGCCGTCCAGCTGCGCCAAAACCCATAGCCCGACCCCGCCCGACCCTGTCTCTCCTTCTTTCTTGAAGCCTTCGAGACCTGCACCCTCGCATTCTAGGAGGTTTCCCGCGTCTCTGAAAGCAGCGCCCTCTGTTCACTGTTCTACTGCTATAGGAGATGTCAGCTCTCGCTTGGTACAGCAGCGACGAGTTACTAGACCAGACACTACCAAAATAATTTTGTGACAAGGGATGTAATTACCGGACTCCAGGCCCGAGACATGCTGAAGGCTGGAGGATTGCACCGCTGCGTGGCATGCTTGCCTGTCTTTGGGCTTGCAAGCAAGGAAGTTACCGGTGCAGCGAAGGACGCCGAGCAGGTGCGAAGAATGGCCTCAGTGGCGGCATTCACAGAGTCAACGTCTATTTTGGGGAGGCGTCACAAGAGCTGGAAGGTTGCCAAGTCACACGGATGCAGCACACGAGACCTGCCCAGCCAAGCGAAACCACAAAGGTCTCCGCTGCCAAGAGTGGTGTAGAGTCTCCAGCAAAAGTACGCATGAAGACCCTGCAGCCCTTTCCTGATCTAGCCCATAGGTTCACCCTAAACCCTAAACCCCTAAACCCTAAACTATCCCCGCCGTCGGCTCGTCTTCGACTTCCTGCTCCGGACGCTCATCGTCGATCTGCTCCAAGACATCCTTTCACAGACTGGACATGTGGTACACCATACCACGGCTTGCGCAACGGAGGCCTCAAGGTCGAAATCATCAGCTGATCGATTTTGTCGATACCTGACATCTATCCACTACAGCCCTGCAGCCTTTTCCTGACCTCCAAGCTTTAAGTGCAATCAACAGCTAGCTGCCGGCCAGATGTGACTCAGGGTTCCAGGCTGTGACACATCTGCAGCCAGAGAGCTCTCCGCTGCTGATGGAGTTCAGGATGCCGGTCCGACCTTCCGCATCGGGAAGGTTCATCTTAATACCTCTGTGTATGTAGGGAGGGACACATGCGTTGCAACATACACTGCACATACCTATGCAATCCACATACAGCCACACGTACACATGCATGTACACATTCATAACCTGTGCATGGCCAGAAGCAGCATACATAAATGAGTAGGCGTGTACGTGCAAATACATGTATGTCCATGATCTTGCTATCAGCGAATGTGTTAGTATTTTGCGACTTATGATGTTAACGTGCATGCCTATATGGGCCTATACCATACACACGAAACTACAAAAACATGAACAACTCCAACAAACACCTAAATAAACAGGCCAATACACATGCACACATACATGTATGCATGCATACATGTATATATATATATACATATACACACACACACGCACACACGCATGCACACACGCACATACATACACGCACACTGGTATGCATCCACCTAAATACACAGACATGCACATACATGCAGGGACACAAATATGCCGTCTACCCACCGTTCCACTAATGGTGGAATGGTGGGTAGACGGTTACATGGACAGATACTACACATGTCTATATGATTTTTCCTGTGCGTGTGTATGTGTGTATATATAGATGCACAACACTACGTACTTTTATGGACTACAACATAATTCATTACATTGTTAATTTTGTGCGTGAAACCTGTTGAATACGTACGGCTGGGCTACCTTTCTAGCCCTCCGGTCAAGGAACTCTCGGCCATCCAGCCGATAGTCTCCATGGCCCGGTACTTGAAGTCTAGGCGCGTCTCACCTTGGGAACACTTCGAGACACCGCGATGGAAACATCGGTATGCCATAAAGGGAAACCAGTGATAATGCAGCGACTCCGGGCTGCCTAGTCGCAGAGGAAGTACAAAGCTGCGTCGGTGAAGCTGTTACCTCAGCGACGCTTCGGTCCCAGTCTCTCGGCGCGCCTTTGGGCACCACGGCTGCAGAAGGAGTTATGGTAGTCCAAATCAGGGCTCCTCTTACAGTACAAGTACCCCAGCCAGACAACCCTGGTGCATTGGCATGGAAGGCTTGTCCTTCAGCTCCGCGGCAGTGCTATTTCAAAGTCAAGGCTTCAGCCGAGGGTATGGACATCAAGCGGGGCTCTTGTTCTGAGTCACGCTCCCCGTCAGGTCTTTGTAACTATGAAGCACCATTGGAATAGGTACCCTTGTTTGGGTACTCAGTACTACAACACACTCAAACGTGGTGCCTTGAAGGGAGGAAGCCTACTCTTCAAGTGCCATCCACCAAGAATATCAATGCAAGCAATGCGGCAGTTCTTCCTGAGGAAGTCGTAGCCTGAGAAGCTCTCAACCGCAGGCATCCACAACGAGGCCGAAACCATGAACCCGGGGTGTGAAAAATCACAGAGGACTGGGTAGGCTTGGCCTCAACAGTTGCATCGGTGTCGCGAGTCCCAGTTTAAGGGCAGTTCTGAGCTCAAACCTCAAGCACTACCTCCAAAACACTGTCGCACTATTTGCAGTCGGCTTGCAACGAACACAGTATGCGCTTATGTTGCTACGACTAGTAGTGCTGTTCTGGCCAGTATGGGCGAATCATCAGCAACGTGATCGCCATGTTATTATGAGTCTTCCTAAGTAACAAGATCATCTGTACAAGTCTCGTCGTAGCCAGGTGCGGACCTCCCGGTGAATTTCGACCTGACACCTAACCTTGGATCCTGCGCCCTTAAGATACGGGGGTTTAGGGCCTAGGGTTTGTAGGGTTTAGGCCCTTCAAAGGGGTTTAGGGGTTTAGGGTTCCTAGGCAGCAGAATCAGAAGGGAGACCCCTTAAAGGGGACCCTNNTTGTAGGGTTTAGGATTTTAGGCTTTTGCAAAGGATAACATGTAGAACATTGTGGGTTTTGCAAGGTGCTGCCAGCAAGGAAGTGTTCGTTCAGAAAGTCGAGCATCTGCTGGCCCGTTGCCTGGCGAAGTGCCGTAAGCTACTCGCAATAGGCGGCCTTGTTTTGAGCTCTGGCTGCGTCCGAAAAGGGCTCTTCGCGAGACCATGTTACGGCCACATGAAGCAAAACTAAAGTGAAAACAAATAGGGCTAAACTAGATTTCTCACTGCTAAGAAGACACGACTGGAACGCTGGGAGATTCCACGAACATTGTTTTGGAGCCGTGAACGAGGAGGGGAGGTGCGTTTTGCTAAGGCCTTTGGGTTTTAGTGAAACCTCCAAAGCATGTGCTCCAAACCAATTATTGTGAAACTGCTTCGCTGTGAATACAGAACTCAGGACCAAGCGCCGTTCCCAGAGGCCCCCCCACATTGTTCTATGATTCCACAGGTCCAGAAAGGTTTGGGGCTTCTAGTCGTAGAGTCGGATCCAGCCGGCGTCCTCGGCAAGACATCGAAACAAGAAGACTGCCTGGGTACCTGGGTAAAGAAGAGCAGCCCGCAATCTTGCTTCACCGGCATCTTGGACACTTGCGGGCAGAGTCAGCTCAGTGTCTGAATACGGGCTTGAATTACAGTCAGCAGCTAGGCTTGGCCAGCTTGAAACTCGAAATGGCTTTAATTTTAAAGAAAGCCTCGGCATAAGCCGAGCGAGATGTCCGGCAAAGTCTTGATTCGTCTTGGCTTCAAAACGAAGCCGGAAGCAGGTGGCAACCCCCCCCCCCAAAAAAAAAA